CTTTGAGCAAGTTATACGCGGGAAATCGATACATACGAATTAAGCTTTGCAGATCTACAGGCAAAAATGTCGTGGGTGACACTCACAGCGGAAGAATCATTGGTCAAAGATGGCCTTTTGGCCTTTCAAGATGAATGCTGCATATGATTAAAGGGCCTCGAACGCAAATTCCAAATGTGACCTCCGTTCTGGAGCAACTTTGGATGAAAAGGTATTGCGTTTCAAGAGCCAAAAAAATTGAATGGGCACGAGGAGAAAAATGATTTTTAGAGCCTGTACATTTCGCGGAAAGAGATATTTTGAGTAAGGGTATAACAGACAAAATTTATTCTTTACACAAAATGCTCTAACAGACGTAACTGCTCCATCTGAGCCTTACTGAAGACTTCTGCGTATGATTTCCTTTTTCCGTCGCCTTCAAATTTTCTTCACAAAACTTCCATAACTTGCTGCTTAAAAGCGCTCCGCATATATGGAGGATAGATTTGGAATCAGCGTTGGACGCCCTTCAAAACCATAGGCATGTCATCCGAAAAGGCCACTTCGTCCAGTAATAGTCAGATCATTCCCTGGTCAGAATTATATGACTGAAGTAAAGTATAACAATAAGACATAATTAAGGATAGAGAAGTTCCTTATTACTCACTTCATTATAAATGAATTGTTTTTGGATTTCATGTTTTGCAATTTGCAGAGACTGCTAGCCGAAAAGATAGATAATTTCGATCTTGGGACCAATAAATCACTATTGTAAATATCATTCCAGAAGTTGACATTACATTGCAAACGTAAGCGCATTCTTCTAGCTGAGAGTACATATCGTTATTTCAAATTATTTTTTGTTACAACGCAAGCGTGACCAAAATCAAGCCGCTTTCCCATCCTAACACCTAAAAAACAATCGTTTTCGGATTTTAGTGATTTGCGCAGTTAGCTTCTAATCTGAGACAATCGCTCTAATCAAGGTCAGTGCCTTTCAAGGAAACTCGTTTTTGCCATTTCGCTCGGAAATGTTTTTGCCAGTCGACCTGTTCCATAAAAAAGCCCAATTAAGTGGTTTTGGGCGTCCTAGCTGAAGCGAAGGTATTTAAACCAATGAAATTTATCCATTTGGCCTTATGGAAGAGTGCGTGATTGCCGCTGTATGAGGCTGAGAAGCAGTCTGAGACGACTAGGAGGATACTATTCGCAGCTTGGAAAATACAGACATGACTCAAGCTGAAAAATGTGGGTTTCTGCAGAAAATTTTTTACAAACGCCACATCCTCAAGTTTCTTTGTTAGTGTATTAACTTGCACTGTCTTCGACTGACATTTGAGGAAAGGTTTCAGCTGAGCCTTGACCTCGGACAGCTAATCTCATATTTGTACAAGTGCGGAACCAACTTTAAGCTAGACATTTGGGCAAGTGAAGAAGTATTCCCTTTTAAGTAGAAACAGGTAAAAGAGGTGCTTACATGGTAAACTATCACGAACCATAGAGCATTGATTAAGGCATAA